AGGCAAGGAGGCAGCCTAACAGGCTCCAGGTGGTGAGTTGGCTTTGCTGGCCGAAGGACCCGCACACCCTGTGTCCAGAACTATTATGCAGACAGGCTGATCTCCAGTTGGAAGAGTGGAAGATCTCTGCATATAGTGTGAGGGCTCCGCCAGCCAGACAGGCAGGCAGTGTCTGAGAAGAAATTACATTTGTGGGTCCCATGTGGTGAGATTGAACACGGGCCATGCCCTGTGCTGGGTGCCTATGTGTTGTAGTCATTCTAATGAGCAAGTCCTGCATGTTCTCTCTCTCTTTCTTCTGGGTGTTGGCTGACTCTGCCTTCCTTTCTTCCTCTCCCCGCCCTTGAAGGAAAGAATATGTATATTCCTGACTCAAGGACATTTTTTCATTGCTTCTAGAGAGAGAGGAAGAGAAAGAGGTAGGGAGAAAGAATCATCGATGCCAGAGAGAGACATCAATTGGCTGCCTCCTACACACACCCGTGCCGGGGACGTCCGCACCAGGACTGGGGATTGAATCTGCAGCCTAGGCATGTGCCCCAACCAGGAATCGAACCTACAACCTTTTGGCCACAGACGATGTTCCAACTAACTGAGCCATACCAGTGAGGGCCCTTCACCCTCTTTGAAGCAGCCTTAGCCATGAGGCTTTCTTTGGCCAATAAAAAGGGACCAAAGGATGTATCACTTCTGGACGGAAACAGTGAGAGGCATGGCACGATTCGCCAGCATCCCATTAACTAACCTTGACAATCATGAAAACAATGAGCAGGAGGAAGCTTCCATTGGCTCAGACAACTAAAATGAGGTTTTCCTGTTGCTACAGACTGGATGTTTGTATTTCCCCAGAATCAGATGCCTCTACTCCCCCATTTCGGATGTTGAATCCTAACACCCAGCATGCTGGCATTCGGGGGTGGGGCCTTTGGAAGGTGACTAGGTCATGAGGGTGGGGCCCTTGTGAGTAGGATTCGTGCCCTTTTAAAACAGTCTCCGGGGAGCTCTCTCACCCTTTCCACCATGTGCGGACTCCACGAAAAGGGCTGCCTATGAACCCAGACACCAAATCTGCCCACACCTTGATCTTGAACTTCCCAGCCTCCAGAACTGTAGACATAAAATGTTTGTGGGGTATCAGCTGCGCAGTCCAAGGTACTCTGTTATAGCAGCCCGAATGAACCAAGCCACCTGTCAACCTGCACAGGCGTGAAGCATGAGGGGAACATATACTTTTGTCGTGTTGAGTCCCCGACATTAGACTGCGCGTCACCCCAGGATCTCCTTGGATCATCCCAGCAAACCTGCAAGTCCTTTACAGAGGACTGAGCATGTACATCCATCCTGGTGACTGTGAGTACTTTGCCTAAGACCACAGAGCTGATAAGAGGTAGAATCAGAGTCTAAACCCAGGTCTGTCCACGCTGAGCCCCGCTCTTATCCACACTTCAGCAAAGCAAACCGAATATGCACGAGAGAAAACAAGGCATCTGGGAACCTCTACATGCGCACAACTAACATAAAACCAGGTGTCTAAGCAGAGTAGCCTCTCCCACTCTGCAGGAAAAAAAGAGAGGTTCAAACAGGCCATGTACCACCAACAGACAGTAGTCTAATGTCATGCTGGTCTCTGGATGGTGAAACCACACGGTGACTCTCAAGTGACCCAGGGAGGGACGGCTGAGCAGAGGGGGGCTGGGGCATTGAAGAGGTGTCCGTGTGCTCCTCTGGCTTTGCTAGAACACATACCTCACTTTCACATTATACCTAAAGTAAATACAGATCCCACAGAGAATAGACTTCTGTTGTTTCCCACACCTAACCCTTCTATAGCCACAGGCATTATGATGCAGAACTGGGAGGAAAACAATCAAAGAACCACAAATGCTGTTTGTAGGTAGTACGACAACATTCTACGTATGGCCAGCAATTTTACTTGTCCCTGAAATTCCCAAGTGGAGTTCAATGTCCAGAATCCATGGTATAAACTGGTCTTCCTAGTAGCTTCTAATCGTGACTTACGAAGAGAAGAATTCCCTCACAGACATTTATTTCTGCATGGGTGTTCATCTTAATTATCAGCAGACCACTGACGGACAGGAATCAAATTTACAGAAGTGTTCCAACCCTGCACCAGCTCATGTCACTTTTCTCTTGTCCAGCCTGGGGACACAGTCCTTACACTAGAACAGGAGAAAGAAGCTACGCATCCTCACTTTCAGCGAAGTGGGCGGAAATCTATTCTTTAGTTGTCAGCTTTCCCTGTGTTACTGACTTGCAGAGGAAGCAACGCCTCTGGAGTCTGGACAGAGCCCACGCACGGCCCAACGTTTCATTTCAGGGAATCCCGTCACTGCAGTGACCCGGTGCCAGCGTCATCTGAAGCCCTAATTTATTTTTGCCCTTAATACTACATTGGCTCTTAAAGCACCAGCAAGGTAACAGTGGGTTGTTTTCATGCACATGATCTCCATAACAACTATTAATTCACTTTTAACATAATGAAAATCATTGGTCATCCAGCTGATTAGACAGAACAAAGGGTGGTTTTTCTAAGCTACCGTCACCTTTGAACTTCACACGACACACTCATCCTAATATCTGCAACACCCAGATCTGAAGATGCCACGTATGTCCAGAACGTCATCTACAATACAGTCAGCATTCCATTTTCACTCTTTGTGTGGCCATGATACACTAAGCAGCATTTGTTATGGGCTTTTAAATTTCTACTATCTAATTTGAAACGAACACCAAACTACCTGAAACATCCTAATACACACACAACATTTGATATATACTCTGAACACTCAGAAGTGGAATTCAAAGAAATTTACATTTTTATGCTAATTTAACTTCTTCATCACGCTTTCATAAATATTATTTTATTTAACGGTTTGCACATGTTTCAAAGGAGCAAAACAACATCACGAAAACTTTCTTTTAAGCAAAACCCCCTTTCTAATTAAAAGCAAGTATAGAGGAAAACAGAATACGTTTCAGGAAATGTATTTGAGAAAGCAAACAAACACACTATATATTAATTTAAATAACAAATGAGGTGATTCATATATGTGTATATATGTATATACATACATATATACATATTGTACATGTACATATACATATATACATGTACGTGTGTGTGTATTTGTTTAATGAACACAATGCTCTCTTCTGGAGCACCTGAGTGAAGAAGAAAGCACAGATCCCCGCATGCTTCCAGACCACCAGAGTCCCCTTTCCTTGGTCTGCAGCTCTCAGGAGTGGCTGAGCATCCCCTACTTGTCCAGAAAGGTGACGCTGCCGCGGCCCACCTGGTACCAGTGTGTCTTCGTACTTTCAGTGAAAATCTAAATGGGGGGAACCATTTAAATATGATGCATGCAGTCATGACTCAAGGGGACACACTCATAGGAGACTGCACTATTGATGACTGCACTATTGATTTTCAGTAAGAGAATAATGGAAATAGATCAGCTAAAAGCACAAGCTGCAAATGAACACACATTCCGAGGGAAGCTGAAATGAAGATGCATCACCGTCCTAAGGCCAGACCATTCTCCCTGGTACCAAAACCAGGTAACATCGAGTGCCAAATTACATGAGGATGCTATCTGCTCCTCTTTAAACTAATAACGCCACCTTTGCTAATTCTAGAGCTTGCGTTTTTAAGTGGATACAGTTCCCTCTCCAACAACTCGCCATCCTAGAAATCTTCAATGAGGTACTTTCCTGGTCTTAAGGATGAGACATGCTTTTGATGTTAAGGAAACGGTTCTCTACCCACAAGACAGAAGCCATCCCCCAAATCAAAGCTTTAAATTTGAGCTTTCAGTGACTTTATCAGGCCCTTGGAGAAACGGTAGAGACCTTCCTTTCAGAGTGTAAGAGAAATACCTTTGTGCGGGCTCCCTCCTCGTGTCTCAGCAAAGCTCAGGGAAAGGAGAAGGGTGGGGGGAGGGTGCAAATGGGACTCAGGTGGTGCAGCGGTGGGAGACGTGCGAGTTCCAGAAGTTCTCCTTCCTACCTTTCTAGCAGAACTGGCGTTGTGACCCAAATACAAGGGAACCTCCACATTCCAGGAGCAGACTCAATTCAGATTATGCAGCTCCGCGGGAAGAAACACCATCCTCTCCTTAGCGGGTTGTGCTGTACTCGATATAACCCTCTTTATTTCACTTTAATATTTGGTTTAAGGAGATGCTGATGGGTCAGGTTTGAAGTTGTGGATCCGCTAAACGCCTCTTTGGAGGGACCTGCCTTCCGGAATGACGACCCTCAGGGGCTCAGCCCAGAGCCCGTGTATATGCTTGGCGGGAAGCCTGCACTGAATGGGAGTGGAGGTCCCCGCCCTTCAGCCCCCCCCCGCCCCCACAGTGGTGGGTTCCTGGGGCGCTGGGCGACCGGCTCTTTCTTTTTTCTTGCTCCTGGCAACCCGCCAAACTCACCCGAGTTGGGCTCAGCTAGAGAGGGTCGCCGATTGCTCCTCCCAGAGGTCACTCTACAGAAAACTCTGATGGTACGAGGCCCCAGGGTGAGTCGCCAGCGGCGACAACTTTACGCATTTTTTAATTTGTTAGTTTGTGGACGGAGTTAAATAGCCTCCAAAGATGCGCCCAAATCCCCTTCTAAAGTCCACTACCGCGCAACGCCGGGTTCCTCCGACCACGCTTGTGGCAGTTCCACTTCTTGTCACCCCGCACCCCCAGGCACAGTGCAAACGAGCCCTACAGCGAGGAAGTCTGAGGGGAGGTCGAGGTGGGCGGCGGCCAGGCAGTCCCGGGAAAGGTATCTCCCCTTCCCTCCCCACCGCCCGGTCCTTAGGGCAAGGAAGTGCAGGAGAAGACGCCCGGGATCGGAAGGAGGACTCGGTCGCCCGGCCTCGGAGTCAGGCCACCGGCCGAGGTCCCAGAGCGCCGCGCGCTCCAGCGGCCAACGGGGTAGGTGGGTGCGCGCGCGGCAGGTGCGGGCCGAGGCCCCAGGGAGCGAGGCGCCCTTACGTGCTCCAGCTTGTCTTTCCTCCGGAGCCAGACGCTGGCGCTGTAGTCCTGCTGCTTGACGCTGCTGTAGAAGTTCGCGCCCACTCGGGTCAGGCTCGGCGAGGGATCCTTGGGGCGGCTTTTGAGCCTCATCTGCTCGAAGCCCTCGTGCGGGGAGGCCGAGAGCCACTCGTGCTGCCGGATCTCCATCCTGACATGACCAGGCTGCGGGCGGAGCGCAGCGGGCTTGGGATGGTCGCGGAGAGCGGGGCACCGAGGGCGAGCAGGAGGCTGGGTGGGAGCGGGAGACGGAATGGGCGGGCGCGCGGGGAGCGCGGGGAGCGCACGGCCGGGAGGGAGGGGCAGCTCCGGAGGAGAGGGGCGGGGGGTGTGGGCCGGGCGAGGTCGGGGGAGGAGAGGGGTGTAGGAAACAGGGGGAGGATGGGCGGGTACGACAGGGAGTCAGGGACCGAAGGGAGCTTTCTCCGGGAGGCAGAAGTGCGGTGCGCGCGGTGTGGCCGCACTGTCACCCGCGGCGTCCCGAGCGGGCGCTCCGCAAGCCGGCTTCTTGCGGCACCGACTGGGACCCAGGGTCCGGCCGGGCGGGAGCTGGGGGAGGCGGCGGTGCGGTGGGAGGGGCCGCCGCGGCGGAGCCCGCCGGAGCCCGCAGGTTGGTGCAGTGTGGAGCCGCCGCCGCCCCTCCAGCCGCGCCCTGGCCGAGCGGCCGACTTGGGCTGCGGGCCCGCCTGTCCTCCACTGGCTACAGCGCTCCCTCCCGCATTTTCACTTGAAGGCGAGCAGCCCCCTGGAGGAGTGAGCGCGCTCTCCGCGCCTCCTCCCGCCTGCGGCCGGGCGCTGGGATGGATCTGGAGAAGCTCCGGAGCCACCTCCGCCCTTCCCCCACTGCCAGCCTGCAGCGCCCCCGCAGCCCGCCCTGACTCCTCGGGCTCCCTGCCCCCTGACTCTGAAAGTTCAATAACTTGCCACCTCGGGGTCCTTAGAGCATTGGGGGTGCCTAGCAACCCCCCGCAAATGGCCACGAGGACGTCTGTTTTGTAGAGCTTTGCACGCTACTTTCCTGCGAGGGTCTGGCGGTGCAGGAGCTGGGCGGCCAGGCTTGCGAGGCTCGCTCACCATCCTGCGTCCACTTCGAACAAAGCTCCCAGCGGCGCCACCCCGCCGGCTCCTAGTCGAGCGACACCTGGGCCCTGTCCGCTAGCGCTCTGCCTTCACTCTGCTCGCAGGTCCCCAGGACCAGCCTTTCCTCCCCGATGGTTTTTGCACCAGCTTTCCCTCCCAGGCCCAGTCTTAAAACAGCCAGGCACGATGACTTTAGAAAGGAGATGGCATGTCAATGACTGCATCTTAAATCTTTATCTTTTGCTGGCTTTGGCGTCAGCACCTCAAAGCATGTTGTGGTTTGATGGAAACGCTATATATAATAACTAGTGGTAAGGGTCCCTCGGGTCCATTTAAAAGCTTGGGAAATGTATGAAAGATGGGGAAGTATTCTGGAAATGTTAAAGAGAGACAGCTGCAAAGGGTAACTAATCTCTCTCTCCAGCCCCGGAGGGGGCGGGGGGGGGGCGGGCGGCAGCTGTCACTTAGCTCTGTCCAACGCGCCTGATGGGTTCAAAGAAGAAATTCCGCCGGAGAATTTGAAGTTTTCTGAGGGCAAGCATTGTGTCTCATACCTTTTTAGAGCATCCACAGTAGAAGGTGTTATTGTAATACCAGTAGTTGAAATAAAATCCTATTTCAATTTGGGGATGGAACAACTAAATACAAATAACACATCATTTTTTGTTATTCTAGATTGGCTTTCTTAGGAGTGAAACCCCGCTGGTGGGTTATGTCTGAGCTTCACAGCTATTCTGCAAGGTAAATGTCATTAACCCCATTGTCAAGGTGAGGGAACTGAGGCTGAAGCAGAAATTACGCGTCAAAGCAAGGATCTGAACCAGGATTAAAGGGCTGCGAATGCCACACACCCCATCGCCTTGTCTTCCATTTTTTGCTACTAACAATTTAGTCTTCACTGATTTTGCTTTTTCTCTGAGTATAAACGCACAATTTAAATGCCTACAATTATATATATACCCAATTATATAAATGACAGCTATATATAGATATATAGATATCTTTGATAATACCAGTGTTGGAAAATCCTGACTGCCTTTCTGCAAAGGATACTTCCGATTTTTGCTTTATAGGATTATATATACCATAGGTTCGATGACGTCTCCAAACCTGGACAGGTGACAGATATCCAATTCAGAGTAATAACGAAGTGTCCCCTTTAAACAAATGGTGTCCATACCAAATCGGGTTTTCACATCAAAGTTGTTTTTAAAAAAACTATGCCTTTATAGGGAAACCACTCTAATGGTTGCCACCATCTCTGTTTTTTTGGAAGGAGTATCCTGGTAGCACATATGTTACAGGCAAAATACTGAAGAGGGCATTATTGTCAATTTAGAGATAATGTTTGTTAGGATTAAAAACATCAGGAAAAGCACAAACTTTTACTGTCTCTACTCAGTCTGCCTGGGTATAAAACCCAAGGCGGAAAGTATCAAGAAGTACCTGGGAGTATTTTATGAAGCCTTTTATAGCGATCGTGACCATTTCCATAATATTTCATACCTTTTCACATGTTTGCACACCCTTTATCACATTTACTTAATGGGAAAACTATCCCAAAGTCTTCTTGGGTGTTGCTACCATCTCCATTTTTTTTTGAAAAAAAGGAATCCATAGTTTATGGAGATTAAATGACCTACTCAAAGCTAGGCGTCTGCAGAATCTGGCTGGCGAATCAGATTCACTGACTCTGAATAAATGATTTTATTTTTTTTTACTGAGTCAGATCAAAAAATCACAAATACTTCTTAGTACTTCGATGGTTTATTTTTTTGTGTGTGTTTTTGCTGCGTCTGACCAACTTTTATTAAAGGTTTATTACTGATGAATAAAACATTTCAATTACGAGACCTTCCTTGGTAGTCTGCATTGTGACTTCCCTAATCACCCTCCCATTATGCAAGGCCGCATTAAAACACTGACCCCAGTAATTGTTCTTTGTCGCCAAGAAATAAGTCTGGCAGTTTTAGACAGCATCACTTTCTTTTTAAGACTTTATTTTCTAGAGCAGTTTTAGGTTCACAGGAAAATTCAGACGCAAGTACAGAGATTTCTTTTTAGCTCTGCATAATGTTCTGCTACCTGGAGGTACCAGCTATTCATCCATTCACTTACTGAAGGGCATCTCAGTTGCTTCCAAGCCAAGGTGATGATGAATAAAGATGCTGTGAACATCACATGCAGGTTTCTCTGTGGATGTAAGCTCTCTGCTCCTTTGGGCAAGCACTGAGGAGTATTAGACAGCATTATTTTTAAAAAATACATATGTTAATGATAAGACTATCCCTGGAGAACATTGGAATAATAAAATACCATTAGAACAAAACTAAAGTAGTCCTCGATTTAGCATGTTTCTGAAAACGTGAATGTAGCACATTATTCTCTGAGAAGGATCTTTTATTCTATATGTAGTATTTTCATTAGCCATGTAGATATTGTTGATCAATTATAAAACGATCATGTGGATTTTTAAACTGTTTTGTTAAATTGTTAACAAAGTAAATCCATCTATACACAAACTTATTTTAGACTACCAACTCGTTTTTTGAGTGCTTGCTGTGTTCTGTTTACTGTGTTGGTCCATTATCAATGGCGTTATGTCATTTGTTTCTCATAAAAACCCTGCAAAGCAAACATCACCCACCTCTGTGTTCCGGATGAGGAAACGAAGACCCAGAAAGTCTCATATGCCCCAGAGACACACTAGCAGGAGGCAGCATTATGGCTGAAGCCCGGGGTGGCTCAACTCTCATTGCCTTCACACAGCACAAGCCTGCCTGGCCTTGCGGGGCCCCTTGCATTTCGGCTGAGCTGCAGCTCCAGCGTGACCCGGAGATGAGCTGCAGAGTAGCGAGAGAGTCAGCTAGCCCCCAGCATGAGGGAAGCCCTTGCAGACTGAGTTTACACCTTCACACGGAGGCTCCCCTTTTATTCACCCGAGAAGAAGAACCAAATCAGACTGGGATGTTTCTGAGAGTTAGGATCCTTGCTTCCAAGGCCAGCTCACTTGCTAACCAGCCACCAGCAGGGACTTACCCTGCTCTGCCTCACTGAACCTGTCACGTGGCTAAGGGGTAAACACAAAGTTGGGGCTCACGGGGAGCCCCAGGCAGATCCACCATATCAACACGTCTGATGTTGTTGTCGCAAAAAATTATGCAACGTCTATGCTGAAAAAAAATAAAATAGTTAAAATGATTAACTGGACGCTTAGCACAACTAAAATCTTCTGGTAGGAAAAAAAACCCCTGAACTATTTTAACTTCTAGTGCGGATTGGTTAAGATGATGAGGTCATTGCTCAAATCATTACTTCCTTCGGCCTGCGTGCCCAACACCTTGGAAATGTGAATTCTTCAAAGTCAGCCTGATAGTTTCAATTCTACTATGACTACCTGGGACTGTCTTTTATGTATCTGTCACGGTATTCAATATTAAGCATGTCCAACTCAACAGTAAAAAAGGAACTATCTGATGATGAGGTAAGCCACCCCATAATTCTCACCCGTCCCTCAATTCTGAAAACTGAAATCTAACATTAAGTCAAGTGATGTGAGAATGAGGTATATTTCCGGTGTTTGGGTGCCTATGAAAAACAGATGTTGACAGTGTGGTTTCTTACATTTTTACTCCCCCCTGGTAGTGCTCATGGCTTTCTTTCACTTTTTTTTTGAGCCTATTGCTGTTATTGAGACCAACAAAAAGGAATTAGTATATGTCATAAAACTATTTGGACACCTCTGACATCCCCCACCTGTTCACCTGTGCTAAAGAGGAATGTACTGATTCCATAGATTTTTAGTATTCTTGGCAATTAAGAGTACTTTTTTTTTTCTGCTGCAAATCACTTAAACAAATATAGGCTGATATGTATTATCTCCATGCTTGTCCAAGTTCAGTGTTGATAGCTTCTGCACATTACAGAAATCTTTTGAAGGTAGGATGTAATAGATTCAGTTCCCAGCAATGAAATTCAAAAACCTCAAAGCTAATTTTTATGCTCAGTTGCTAGAATCTCCATTGGTCTTAGGTTTTCTAGGCCTCGGCCAACAAGATCCTTCTTCTCCT